GTTAGCTATTTCCCAAATTGACCCCTGATTATGGAAACCGTGGGGCGGAATAGGTTTGTTTATCATTTCCCGAGTTCACCCCCCTCCCTCGCCAGAATAAAACCAAAAATAATCGATTTCAAAATTCAACAGAAGGGGCAGAATGGGTTCGTGAGCTATTTCCCGCTTGACTCCCGCCCCCTCCCCCCCGCCCCCCACAATAATGTATTGCAAAATTCGCCAAATGGGACAAAATGGGTTGGTGCTAATATTCCAAATCAACCCCCCTGCCCCCCCAAACCTATATAATATACATAAGTGAAATAGAATAAAAAATATGTCTGCGACTGCTGACAGTTTCCCGCCGACTCGATAATTTAACACTGGCGCCATCTCGCGGCATTCTCCCATCTGAACTTCTTTACCACACAGCACACCATCAATAATTTCTCCTAATTATACAAAATAACCTATTAATGGGTATTAATTGGGACCAATTGTTTGTCTATCAGCATTTAAATAATTTTTTGATTATATTCCAATCATTTTTGGCCCATTTTTCGCCTTAAAATGACATCCATGCACATCCATGCTACATCCATGCTACAACACCCTGGCGAGTAAGTTGCCCCGTATCAGCCCCCCAGTTACGGGGCAGCTAGGGGGCAGTTTTGGGGCAGTTGTTTTTGGGGTTAAAACAATGGGGGGAGGTCCCAAAACAATGTAAAAATTAATTAATTAATTATATATAGGTAATCCGATGGTTAATTGTATTGTTATTCATTAGTTTAATAAAATAATTATTAGTATACTGGGGTGTAATACAGGCCTATAGGGAAGATACCGCGAGATGGCGATAGTATCGACTTCTTGAGTAGTTTGGTCTGGTACACGGGCGCGGCGGGGAAAATAGAATTTCAAAAAGTGGGGTGGTGATCAAATATCGCGCAAGGTATTGATGTATGGGGTGGAGACCCCACGTATGGTTGAGGGGTGAGAATATTATTATATTTTATCATCATATATGTTCCAGTATCTAATGATATATTGATGATATACTGAGATCTACATTATATATACATATATCTCTACTTAAAAAATGAGGAGGGCGAGGGGGGTGAGGTGAAAATTCAGGCGGCGTTCAAGGTCAGGGGGGGGTGAGCCTGTAAGGGGTGGGGGTGATAATATTTATATATCCTTCAAATATATATTTTTTAGTACATATTCCACATATTTCACATATATCCGTTTCTATAATAAAAAAAAAGGGGGGGCTGGTATTCAAAGGCCGCCAAGATTCAGGCGGCGTTCAGGGCCGGGTCGGACCCTGTATGGGGTGGGGGTGATAATATTTATATATCCTTTTAATATATATTTTTTAGTACATATTCCTATACCATCTATATATTTCATATATATCCCTTTCTATGATTTAAAAATTAGGGTCGGGAGGGGGGGGGGGCATTCAAAGACCGCCATGATTCAGGCGGCTTTCAGGGCCGGGACGGGCCCTGTATGGGGTGGGGGTGACAATATTGATATATACGTTTAATATATTTCTTTTAGTATATATTCTTATATCACCAACATTATATATGCATATATCTTTCTACATCAAAAATGAGGGGAGGTGAAAATACAGGCGCGGTCAGGGGGGCGATCCTGTATGAGGTGGGGGTGACAATATTTATATATCCTTTTAATATATATTTCTTAGTACATATTCCTATACTATGTATATTTTTCACATGTATCCTTTGCAATCAATGGAAAAAATTAGGGGGGGTGGGGGCAGGAATTCAAAGAACGCCAAGATCCAGGCGACATTCAGGGTCAGAAGGGCGGTAATATTTATTTATGTTTTTGAAATGTAGGTCGTTCACGCTCATCGCTCACCGCGGAACAACATATATGTGGATATTTTTATGCGACATATGTGTAATATATACGGAAAATATATTTGATCACCTAAAATTGACAAATATGTCGCATTTATACTCTTTTCCGTGCGGGCATGGCCGGCGGGGGGGTGGGTGGCCATGGATAAGGTGAGGTCGAGAATATTCATACATATTTTTGAAATATATTTCCTATCACGTACGACACAGGCCATGGCCGTTCCATGGCCGTGGCCATGAGGACTTGAAATTTTAGCCAGTCTCGATGACCCCTAATAGTTGAGGTTCATAAGGGTNTGAAAGTCAAATTTCATGAGTCAAATTTCACGCGAAAGTGAATTTTCATGAGGCCCACGTGGGCTATGAGGGCCACGAAGTAGAACTCACATGTTATGAGTTCCATGACGGCAACCAGGGCCACGGAGAGAAAGTCAAATTTTATGAGGCTTACGAAGGCAACGAGGGCCACAAGGGGAAAGTCAAGTTTCACGCGATAGTCCAATTCTGAGGCTCACAAGGCCCACGAGGGCCACGACGTGAATGTAAAATTCCACGAGGGTCACAAGGGCAACAAGGGCCACGAGGAGAATGTTTAATTCCTCGAGGTCCAGGAGGGCCACGAGATGAATCTCAAATTCCACGAGGGCCAGGAGGGCCACGAGGTGAATGTCAAATTCCACGAGGGCCATGGGTCGGAAGTCAGATTTCACGAGGGTCACAGGGACAACGAGGGCCACAAGGGGAAAGTCAAGTTTCACGCGATAGTCCAATTCTGAGGCTCACAAGGCCCACGAGGGCCACGACGTGAATGTAAAATTCCACGAGGGTCACAAGGGCAACAAGGGCCACGAGGAGAATGTTTAATTCCTCGAGGTCCAGGAGGGCCACGAGATGAATCTCAAATTCCACGAGGGCCAGGAGGGCCACGAGGTGAATGTCAAATTCCACGAGGGCCATGGGTCGGAAGTCAGATTTCACGAGGGTCACAGGGACAACGAGGGCCACAAGGGGAAAGTTTAGTTTAACGCGATAGTCAAATTCTGAGGCTCACAAGGCCCACGGGGGCCACGAGGTGAATGTC